AATTATTTTAGACAACTTTATCTAATGTTTATTAAAATATTATTTTAAAGAGAAAATCATAGTCTATTTGTAATTTTAATTTATTTCAGGTTATAATAGTTTTTATTTTTTTAATTTTTCAATCCAAAACGATATCATTTTGATAAATATTAAGCAAAGTTGTCTAAAGTAACATTAGATACCTTTTCTCTAAGTTTATATATTAGAAATTAAAAAAAATGAATTTTTAAATCGTTAACAAATATCTTAAGAGTAATTATTCGCATTTATCCTATTAATATGCCGGAAATTAAAGGATTTTATTTAAGTTGGTGAGTGAAATTTAATGTAAATTTATGTTTTTAAAAATGACATAATCATGTAAATAAAACAAAGTTTTTTTTGATAACAAAGTTACAGTTGTAATCAACATTGAACTCTTAAATGGAGCGGCAGCCCCCAGAGCATCCAAGCCCCACAAATTGTGGAGGCGCAAGTTCATTTCTCAAAGTCAATCCCCTAGCTTTCCCATTACTCTGAATTTACAAATCCAACTTCACATTCTAATTACTAACAGGGAAAAATTACTCTTATGTTATATGTGATAAATTTTTTTTTTATATGTTCTTTGATAACTGTACTATCTTTTTTTTTTTTCAGGTGGTAGATCTCATATGTTTATCTCTATTATGACATGAGATAATTTATCTCCTTTAATGAGATTAATAAAACCCTTACTATGTGAAAATATACAGGGGAAACGAATGTGCTACTAACGAATAAACTGATGGGACCCACCAATTTAAAAAATTAAAATAAAACCAACGCGACTTTTAATGCATATGTATGCAGAGGGGGATGTATTCGTTTTTGTCACAGGCAAATAAGTTATTTCTATTAGGTTAAAAACAATATCGTTTTGAAAGAGAAATTAAAATATTTTTATAATTTTAATTTATTTCAGATTTATAATAATTTTTATAATTAAATTTTTTTAATATTTTAATATCAAAATGACATCGTCTTGAAAATAAATACAGATAATTTATCTGTAATAACTGAAGAAATACTTTTCTGTTAAACTTATGCCTTTTATTATTTTATTATTTTTATTTATTATTATCAAATATTATTAGATCAAAATCTTAATAAACAAAAAAATAATTGATATTTAATTTAATAGTATTAAAAAATGTAGATAAAATTAAGAAAAAAAGTAACATAATATATCCCTAACATCATATGTACGGAACCTAATTTAGATCATATATTATTTTAGTTTTATATAGTATATATGGAGAGAGAGATAGAGAGATTATGCACCACTAGAGTTAGCGCAGTGGTGTGAGGTGTGTGTGTGTTAAAAATGTGTGTAATGTAGAGTGTTGTGTTCAATTCTTTGTAACCTCGAAAAAAAAAAAAAAAAGAAGAGAGATTACCTAATTGAGAGAGAGAGAGAGAGAGAGATTTTGCCTAATTGAAAGAGGGAGGCAAGGTGGCGTTGATTGATAAATCCAAGAAGATGGCGAAAGAATATACCCCCGCCCTCCCGGTTCGCTGGGTCCCTCTTTACAGCATTGTGCAACAATTGCCATTCATCCCTCTTTTAATTACGGACACACCACACTTGAAAATTTGAAATACTAAATTGAGCATCAAAAGCAAATTCAAATAGAAAAAATATAGTCTTACGTTATACAGGAGACTATTTTTTTTTCTTACATATATATCGACTTTCGTGTTGATTTTTTTTTTCTTTTTTTATAAATAAGTAGGTCTCACACATGACTATCTCTATGACATAAAAAAGCTTCTCTTATATTGCATGAGATTAATAAAATTCATTAAAATATTGAACATTACTCCCCAAGGAAGTCCCTAAAATGATTCATAACAATGGTATAACTTTAAGGGTTTTATGTTTATCATTTAATATAATATAACTTCACTTTCTTACATACATATTAAAGAGGTGGAGTCCACATGTTTTTCTTTCTCTTTTATCATTCTACTTTCTTTCTCTTTTTTGATGTGAGAGTTAGAAACAACACTTACATTATATTACATAACACTAATAAAACCCTAACTTTAATCCCAATAACAAAAGTGAAATTAATATTAAGATAACTTTTAGGACCAACGCAGACCAAAATATAAAAAAGTCTAAATGGTGGTAGTTTAGTCTTTGCACGTTATTAAATAACGTTAATTCAGTTGATATCAGAGAACTAAACAGGTGAAGATAAAAATATGTATTTAATTCTTTCTAATATCATTTTTGAGAGGTATTTAAATTCTTAATCTCAGAATCCGTTTCGAATTAGGCTAATTAAGAAGTGATTTGCCGATTGAAATATTTCAAAAAAAATAAAATCTAAAACATAAGAAGTCCGACAGATTAATAACCTAATTGGATACCAAAAAAAAAAAAAACCTAATTTATGTTACTAATCTATCAAATATAAGACACTAACACAATATGTGTCCTATTGAATAATCAAACCATGATGATGCACCATCCAAATAGCCTCAGGTATAACTATGTCCTAAACTTGAAAAATATTACGAACAAATAGCCATGTTAAACTTTTTACATTTTGACATGCACCATAATCCAATTTATTTCGATAGGTAAGAACCTATCTAAATAAATAAGGTTTGAGAATACGCAATCTCTCTCATTGGCCAATTATAATAATGAATACTTCACAGCATTTTTTTTCTCTCGAAATTTTATGACAACAAAAACCATTCTTCACAAACAACGTATGCCTCTACAAAATAAAAATAATTACACTCTATAATAATAAATTTGTAGAATTCAACTTGTATATTTATATAATCTTATTATATTTTGATTCTTTAAAAAATAACTGAATAGTTTATAAAACCAAACAACTAAATATGGATAGAAATATTAACAAATGCTAAGTCAAAATCTTAATCGAAATAGCACAATTTTTTATTTAAAAAATAAAAACTAATAAGAATGCATTACAATAAATAAAAGAGGTAAAATATAAGTCAATTATAAAGGGTCAACACAAAGCTAATGCAAATGGGCATACAAAAGTTATATACGGAATTGGTCCTATACACTCGAATTCGAGATTATTGGATAAATCAGAATAACTCCTTATCAGTTGATCTCTGTTAGTAGTCATGCGACATACATTTTCTAAAAACTATTAATATCACATGACTCCAACATGTTATTTGCCTTGTATTATTAGCAGATAAAATATGAACAATTTTTTTTAATGTCTATAGGTATGGTTAAATATAATTTTGATTGCAATATTTTTCTTTTAACAAAGGAACAAAATTCTCCACAAATTGAATTATAATTTTACTGAAATAAAAAATATTCAAAAGGAAAAACATTCATCAAGAAAAATATGGTGACTCTAGTTAAATTGAAATGTCGGACGATATATATATCAAAATGCGATGAATGGGTGTTTGACAAACGTAAATGCTAATCCATTATTCACAAATGGGTAACTGCATCTCTAAAATTAATACCTAGGCATAAATGTTACATTTTATAAATAATGAAAGGTTGATACTTTCTTTTATAAATTTTGAAATTGAATATAATTAGTTTTATATTCACGTGATATTATTTTATTAAGTACGAAAAAAATACTTTTTTATGATAAATTTTCATTACCAAAAAAATCAAATATAATTTTATTATAAGAAAATTCTAGATCTCTATGCTAAAAGAAAATTAAAAATTAAATGTTTTTTTTGTAAAAATTAAATGTTTTATTTGGAATTTTGGTACCATCAGGTAGATTGAGGTCATAACCGCTATCAGTCGTTTAATAAAATAGAGATACTTGTACTCGATAACAGAAAATGTCAACCCCTTCTAAAAGTACCATATAGTATTATATTGAATTCTAAAAATTAGGTAGCTAATTTTGTAATAATATCAAATAATATTAAATGTGGAATTATAATCGAATTACAGGGAAAATTTTCGTAAGATAAAAATAAGTATATTAAAGTTGAGAAAAACAAATATTATGTTGTAGGAAAATTTTTAGGTCATGTCATATAGACAACCAATTGTGAGGGTCATTATTTTTAAAATAAAAGAATTGATGGACCCACTTTTATATGTCTGTAGGAAAATTGATTGTGTCATGTGAAAAGAGAAAACATTACCCATTAAAGTTTGATCAATTTGAAATATAATTGTAAGGCAATATGTGCATTTTTGTTCTTTTTAATTTAATGTCCAAAATATACTTGAAATCATTTGTTTTGAAGATAGCTGATTTTATGTGAGATGATTTATTTTGTTTGAATAATATCAATTTACAATTAAGAATATAGTTTTTCATATGTATCAAATAATTTTTGTCTCGTGATCGTACACACTAAAAAATAAAGAGAGAATATTACAAAAAAAATAAAAAAAAAATAAAGAGAGAAAGAAAATAAATGTGCTCGATTTATTTTTTTATGTGTACATCAAATAATTTTGTCTTCTTGTATAACAAAAATTATATTCTCATTAAAATAATTCGTGGAATCAAAATATGAACATAATTATTTATTTTACTTTTTTTGGGTAAGAATTTGAAATTATTTTCATTTAATCTCCTTCCGCCGTCTTGTTTTTGAAATACGACGTCTAACTTGTGCATCGGAAAAAGAAGAACGATACTAATCCTCCGTAACAAGGACTTTTTTCCCTCAAACTCTCAAAAAATTCCTTGAGCGCTCGGCTTTGCCAACTGAGCTATTGGGGGTCATGAACATAATTATAATTACCTTAGCCACGTTGAAAAGTTACGTTCTAGAGTCTCAACCTTGTAATAATTTAAATGCGCAGGAAATACGGAGTAAAACGTTACCAGTTTACGACCCTTCACAAACAAGCACAAGAGACACGAGCAGTGTCAAGATGGTAATTCAGACAAGTTGTTGGGGGCATTTGTCTGCTTCACATCTGGCAATAATGATATAAAGTAACACGCGATTTGTAAGCATTGGTGCATAAAAACCGAAACTCTCTGCGATCGAACCATTTGCAAGCAAAAATTGGCAGAGAGAGAGAGAGAGAGAGAGAACCTCTCTCGCTTTCCTTTGACGCTTCCGACCCATTTCCCTTGCAATCTTCGTCTTTGTATTTTCTTCTCTCTCTCTAAACTTCATTGACCTAACTCTCTCTCTCTCTTAGTATGGCGTTCCCAGACTCTTCTCGTCGCAACTCTCTGATCCCGACCTTCCTTTATTCCTCCTCTTCTTCATCTCCGAAAACCCTACCTCTGCACAAGATCCTCAGCTCCGGCGCCGCCGGAGCCGCCTCGCCGCCTTCCGGCATCGACGGCGGATCGCGCGGGAGTAGCTTCATGATTCCTGCTCCCAGCGAGCCTGGCAAGATCGAGATGTACTCGCCGGCGTTCTACGCCGCCTGCACCGTCGGTGGAATCCTCAGCTGTGGCCTCACTCACATGGCCGTCACTCCTCTTGATCTCGTCAAGTGTAACATGCAGGTCTCTTTCTCTCTTTCTCGATCTTGCTTCCTATGCTCAGATTGTGCTGTTTTTATTAGCATTTCGCTTCGTCACGTTTTAGATCTGCGATTTCCTTTGAGGTCTCTTTGGATGTTTGGTTATGATACTCATATCTTTGATTGAATAGATCTGCAAAGTTTGGACTATCGTATTTTGTGAGATTCCTTGTTCGATTTTTTTTTTTTTTTTTTTTTTTTAAGTCTCTAGAATTTGTAATGAGTTGTTAACCTACCTAGCGTTTTTGACATAGTTTTTATGCTCTTGGAATTGGAATTGTTTACTTGGTTGCTAGTAGGATTTGTGTTTTAATACTCGAGTTGATAATCGATTTCAGATTGACCCTGCTAAGTACAAGAGCATCTCGTCTGGGTTTGGAGTTTTGCTCAAGGAGCAGGGATTCAAGGGCTTCTTCCGCGGCTGGGTGCCTACCTTGCTCGGTTACAGTGCACAGGGTGCTTGCAAGTTTGGGTTCTATGAGTTCTTTAAGAAATATTATTCTGATATTGCTGGTCCAGAGTATGCAAGCAAGTACAAGACCTTGATCTACCTTGCTGGTTCCGCATCTGCGGAGGTTATTGCTGATGTTGCACTCTGCCCCTTTGAGGCTGTGAAGGTCCGTGTCCAAACTCAGCCCGGTTTTGCGAGAGGTCTGTCTGACGGGATGCCAAAATTTGTTAAATCTGAAGGAACCTTAGGGTATGCTTATAAATGCTGTTAACTCTTGCGATGGTTTGCTGGAGGATATTGTGTGATTATATTATGTTGCTCTTTGCTAGGAATTAGGGTGTGCATCTAATAAAGTGTCTTTTAATTTCAGGCTCTACAAGGGATTAGTGCCTCTGTGGGGACGTCAGATTCCATGTAAGTTGGGCTGTCTTATAGTCTGTAATTTGCATTACATTTTAAGTGCCTTCTTTGTGAATTGGCTGTTTGTGTGCTGTTCAGTATCTCTTGGGTTGCCAACTGAGGTTTTCAGTTTGTACTTCAATTACTTCTCATCTTGAATTAGTGTAGCACTACCCTGTTGCACTTGAAGTCACATTTTGAACATTTGAGTATTCTTGTCTGTAACATCAACATCAACAACACCTTTATCCCAAATTAATTGGGGTCGGTGGTAGATGAACCCACATGAAAGATACAAAACGGTTGAAAAAAAGTAACAAAAAAAATAAAAAAATAAAAAATAAATAAACAAATAATTAATAAATAAATAAAAATACACAAATAAAATATTCTTGTCTGTAAGTTGTAAAATATATTGTTTAGTATTTTTCATGGTTCTATTTACCAAGTAGGACAATAGATTAATTTATTAGTTGAATTTAGAAAAAAATCGTGATTGTGATTGTTGTTTGTTGGAACATGATGAAACTCTTCATTATGAAACATTGGTTGTGAACTTTGGTGTTACTCAATATAAGTTTGAGCCTTGTTTAATTTATATTTTATAAATTTGAAGATAACTTTTGATGGAGCCAAAGGGCCTGATACCTGATAATAAGATCTCTAGAAATTTTATTTTGTAGTCGAATTGTTTTTAATAAAAAAATCATAATTGTAATTGTTGTTTGTTGGAACATGATGAAACTCTTCATTATGAACATTGGCGGTGAAGTTTGGTGTTCTGCAATATAATTTTGAGCCTTTTTTCATTTATATCTTATAAATTTGAAGATAACTTTTGATGGAGCCGAAGGTCATGATACCTGATAATAAGATCTCTAGAATGATTGTGATTTTAATTTATTAATTGAATTTAAATAAATCATGATTGTGATTGTTGTTTATTGGAACATGATGAAACTCTTCATTAAGAACATTAGTGGTGAAATTTGGTGTTCTACAGTATAAGCTTGAACCTTGTTTCATTTAAATCTTATAAATTTGAAGATAACTTATGATGGAGCCAAAGGGCCTTGATTCCTGATATAAGATCTCTAGAATGTGAAGAATGTCCTTTCTTGCAGACACTATGATGAAGTTTGCTTCTTTTGAGACCATCGTTGAGATGATCTATAAGCATGCCATCCCCAGACCAAAGAATGAGTGCAGCAAAGGTCTGCAACTCGGTGTCAGTTTTGCTGGTGGATATATAGCCGGTGTACTTTGTGCAATTGTGTCTCATCCTGCTGATAATCTTGTCTCTTTTCTGAACAATGCCAAAGGAGCAACAGTTGGTGATGTGAGTGTCAAGACTTGTATATTTAGATTAATTGTTTCGTATTTTGTCTGCTTTTGACATGTTTCTCTGATGTTATCTCCCGTATAACGCAGGCGGTGAATAAGATGGGTTTGATGGGTCTCTTTACTCGTGGTCTTCCTCTCCGTATTGTTATGATTGGAACACTTACTGGAGCCCAGTGGGGAATATACGATGCATTCAAAGTCTTTGTGGGACTGTAAGTTTATACAGTTGCTAGTCTATGATATAGTTTCATACTCTAATTTGTGTATGTTCTTCATTAGGACGTGCTAATGAAATTTTTGTTATCTTCCCAGGCCAACCACTGGTGGTCCTGCTCCTGCTGCTCCTGCCCCTGCTCCTGCTGTTGAGCTTGCAAAGACATAGAATGTCTAATGATGACACTCGATTGTTTTTTTAAGAAACTTAGAAAGCCAGCGAATAGGAACCATAAATAAACAGAGGACTGCTGAAGTTGCTTGAGTGGAACTCAAGCTTACTTGGATAATATTCTTTTCAAGTTCAGACATTGTTTCCATTCTTGTATTTGAGTATTTTAAATTTTTGGGAGGATGGTTTTGCTCGCATCCTTCTTGTTGCTGAAAACTTCGTAGTTAGGAATGATATAATTTTGCATGTCAGGGTCTCTACATGCCTCTGTCAAACGGGAATACACATGTTTTCTTGTCCATGCATAAGCTTGGACGCATATGCAGTGCCTATATTGAGTTCATTTTTACTTCTAGCTAACCTAAGAAAATTATTTTTGTTCCTTTTGTTAAATTACGTTTCTTGTATTGCCATCATCTGCTGTATTTCAATGTCTGTTACCATCTTCGATATTCACGAGTTAACTACCAGCTATTATACGTTCATCCTCTGATTATCTTGTTCCAGTGGCAAATGCAAATTTGTAAGGTATGTGTTGCCTTGCTAACAGTTGTGCAAGTAATGCGCGCAAGTATACGCGACAACAAGCAATATAGGGCTGTTATAAGTCCCAGTTATCGTTCCCACAAGGATCGTTGGCGTTTTGAAATGACTAAAATTTGTAATTGCTTAAAATTGAGTTACTATTTGAAAATAAAAGATATAAAATTGTAAAGTAAAGATAATTTAGAATGGACCTAAAACACTACTGTTCATTTTTCTTTTAAAATTTTCTGAATTACTTTCCTAAGTTATAAAATAAGAATGAAGAATTAAGCAACTTAAATGACAGATGTGACAAAATTTTTGAAAAACAGAATACAGATTGAACTATGAAATAACAAAGGAAATTGGAAAATCTGAATTGATAAAGAGGTTTAAAAAGGTGGGTTGAGTTCTGTTTCTCCTTCCCCACAGTGCTTGAAAAATAATTTGATTAACAAAAAGCTCATTCTAAGATTCTCAGTTAACAGGGCTGTATTGTTAATTTTTAATCTCTTAAAAATTATTTTATCCCAAAGTTGCCCACTTCCATATCTCTATGCCAAGTGAGATTAGGACTCTTGAGATTCAGGTCCAATATTACATGAGTACTCATTCATTTCTGAATTGAGATCCCTTAGATGATTTCTCATCTAAGTCCATGTGTCTAATGCAGAATCCAGAATTAATTGTTTCTCAACAACTAAATCCTAACCAAACATCTGACATTTGGCCAAAATGCAGATAATTTTAAACATTAGAAACAGCATTAAACAACTGAGATATAACAATTAAAACCAGAAAATCAAAGATCTAACAAGCACTGAGGTTTGGGTATCACCAAAACCCAACCTCTAAAAAGTTAGCCACTATCCATATGGGTGAGGCTTACACACAGTAACAGAAATAAAGAAATTACAAACAAGAAATGCTAGAAAATAATTTACAGCACTAGCCTAACAACCAGCAATTTCAGTGCTGTAAATGCATGTATCAAGTTCATCAGATGAACCAGAATCTCATTACAAAACAGAAATTAAAAGAAACTCAAAATTGTTCAGAAAACAAAAACTAAGAAAAACCATAAATCAGAAAACAGAGAAGAGCTCCCGATGACTCACTCCTATATCCCTTTTATAGGGCTCTTTGCACACTATCCTCTTTTTCTCCAGCTCAGCAATATGACGCGCTGCTGCAAATGAGTGGTCCCCACAGTGCTCCACTCCTCTGCTCTTACAAATCGGATGGAATTGTCGTTCCTTCAAACCGTACACTGACGTGTGCTCACAATCACTCCAGCATCCACTAAGTAACGGATCTTTGTTTGGCTTTTTCTGAATCCAAAATAGTGGCTAGGTTTTGGTTTGTTTGCGATATTGTGTGGTTTGGTGCGTCAATCAGGTAGAAAGGGTGCAAACGATGGAAATGGGTTGTATGAGGGTTAGGGTTCGGTTCGAGAGACAAGGTGTTAGGGTTTTTTTCTTTCTCTTTCAGAAGACGCACGATTCTGACTTCTTTCTCTCTTCTTCTTCTCTTTTATTTTGGGCCACTGATTTGCTTTCTCATTTCTCTATTATTTCCTTTCTCTTTCCTTTCTTTCCTTGGGCTGTATCACAATTGGGCCTGAAAAATGCAAATAAGAAAAAAAACCCATTAGCATTTAAATCAGAATCATCCACCTTAATTCAATTTGGGGTATCTATTAACACAAAGTGTATTCTTTTTTTACATTTTCATATTAAAAACCATACATTGTAAGTATTATTTCATGGACTTATCAGTATGCCAGGTAACCAGTTGACTTGAAGCTGTCACCCGAATGTTTTTGGTAGAATATTGAAAATGACTTTGTCATTGTTATATGTTTATTATATATTGATTCGAGGCTCTGTCCAGCAGCTTCGTGACAAAATGCTTTGGGCAATGAGTATGCAGTCTTTGGAGTTTTGATTGCTTATAGTTGCTAAGCTCCTCATTGTTCTCCTTCCCTACAGATTCGCTTTGAAGTGTTACAGGCCTCCAGTTAGTGCTAAACATAGTCCAGTTACCTATATGTCGGGTGTGTCGTTTGAGGGTGACAGTAAATGAATTTGAAGGGGATGCTACCATTTTCACCTACGTGTACATCTTTTATGCATGGAAATGTATATAAAAAATGCACACAAAAAGCCAGGAGGCAGAGACTACTGTTAAGTAACTTGTGGGTGTATTTGTGTACCCGTGATAGACGATTTGATTTTTGGGTATAGAAAACTTGAATGGTTATGCCAAGGTTCTAGGCCACTGAAGGGGCTTATAAATAATCAATCAATATGATTTTTTTTTTTTTTTTTCGATTTGATGTAACAATATGAGCATTTTAAATTGCGAGATGAGGCGATCAGGTGCGTGCTAAGAGGAATTTAATTAGGACCCAAAAAAGAATTTGATTAGGAAGGATGGAAATCGGGAAATCTACGAGCTTAAGCTTAACGAAATTAAATCTGAAAGAAAATGTACAAGTTTGTAAGTTTGTGCAAAATCAATTTTAGTTGAAATTTGTTTCATTTGATAGTGAATTTAAAGTGAAAAGATTTATCTTTATTTAAAAATTATTTTTAATTTTTTATTTTGTCATAAGTATCTATCGTTGAAACGGGTATTCAGCCCTAAATTCTCGTTTCCCTTCTGCAAGAAAAACAATATAACTGATCAGAATAGATTTTGAACGAGCCAAATGCGCATTTAACCAACCACCAAACATTTACTTTTACTTAATGTTCAAGACCATGATGAAAGAAAATAATATTTATTTTTTAAGCTGACATAAAATTATGTGTAAATTACACAAAAACACCTTGTACTTATGGGTTGTTTCAAAAGAACACCATAAACTTTCAATTGTGTCAATTAATCTCCTTAAACTATAATTCTAAAACAATTTAACATATTTAACAAAATTAAGACAATAATACCCTTATTTTTAACCTATCCATGTTAATCGTTATCACCGCTCCTGCTCTTGCTCCACGGCCCTCACGGTCCCCACCTTGTCATCCGACATAGTTAGTGTCTTTATTTTCAAGTGCAGTTTCTAGTATGAATTTAGTAAGCAATTGATCAGAAAAGAAGAGATGAAAGAGATACTTAATGGTCAAACAAATCACACAATCCATTGCTCGCAATCCGTCAATGAGCCTAGTGCTTTTTTTCACTATGGAGGTTTTACCAAGCACTCAGATAATAGCATCAAAGAATGCCAAGTAAAACCCATATTGCAGCAATTGCAAAGATGAAACAAAATATGTCTTTGAATTAATGAAATATTTGTTCTTTTGACCACAACATAATCACCAGTATTCAAACAAATGACTTCACCTTACCTTGGTTCATCTGCAGTTCAAGGAAGACCCTATGCAACAGATATTCTCTACTTCTCTTCTTCAGTTACCATCTCTTGTATCTTCTTCACAAATTCTTCCTCTTTCAACTTTTCCCTTTGGTACAAAATCATTCTATTGAAATTGTTGCTACCAAATTCATCGGAAAATAACAATGATAATAATGAAAAATGATCAATCAATCAATTACCTCAGTTCTTACCTTGAATGATTTTTTATTAGTGACTTTTCGGTGTTTCTTTCTCCACCTTCTTCCTCAAAAGTGTTTGAAGATTCCATTCGTTCAATTCAAACTCAAAACTCTAATTGGTGAATGAATTATTAACCATTCTGATTTTTTTGTATAAACATAACTTCTAGTCTTACATTTCTCTTGTTTCATCGACTCCCTAATAGAAGGCCTGATACATTTCTCCTACAATGGCTGGTGACAGGGTGGCGATCGGGGCAGTGGTGCAATTAGTGGGTGGTGGGTGGCAATGGTTATGGTTAAGAATAAAGGTATTATTGTCTAAATATTATTAAATTGTTTTAATATGATAGTTTAAGGGAGTTAATTGATTCAATTGAAAGTTTAAGGTAGCTTTTTGAAACAACATCTAAGTACAAGGTGGTCTTGTGTAATTTACCCTAAAATTATGCTAAAGAAGCCCAAACAGCATCAAGGAAAAGCAAAGGCATCTTTCAACCACTCCTCACTCCTCACTCCTCAGGGTGGAAGAAGTCTGTTCTTTTGACAAGTAGATGAGCGAGCAACTTTGTTTGCTTTATGAGGAATACACATAAAGCCAGAGAAGAAAAATGACAGGTCAATTCTAAGTGGCTTTTGGAACGAGAGATATTTTTTTTTTACTGAGAAAAAAAGATTGTTGGAGATTTGATAGAAATTTTTTTATCCTGAATAAGTTACGAAAAAATGTTTGGTTGGCCAAACTTTTGCCAAAAAAGTTGAATTAATTTTACTGATGCTATGTTTGGTTGATGACAAAATATTGATGTGAATGTGAATTGAAATTACCAAAATACCCTTACTTTTTTGAATATGAAAAGTGAGTCATTATCAAATGTTCCATTTTTAGGAAGAAGTGAATCAAACATTCCTTTTTCAGAATCCAAGACTATGGGGAAAAAAGAAATACTAAAAACTGGGATAATTTTTTGTCTTTGTGTAGTTCAAAGGGAAAATATTGGAAAAAAAAAATTACTGATATTTTGTTTACAATACCCGTATCAAATATGGTAAATAAATATTTTCCATCTTACTTTCTCATCGTTCCATACCAAATACTCATATGTCAAGCATAGAAAAGTCAATTTGATGCTGTTGAAAATTCACCACCACGCCTTTGGCAATCAATCGTGACTACACCCTACAGCATTAGAGAAACTCATTCTAACAAAACAACGCAGCCTGCGCTCTTTAATTTTGGCGTGAGGGTTAGACTTTACGATTTGAAAGAAAAATATTAAATAGCTAGAATACTTTTATTAAAATTATTGTCACAATGAATAAATGAATGGTATCTATA